CTTCTGCTCCCGTTTTCTGTGGAGGTAATATCATGTGGCCTTTAAACTGAGAATACAGCTAAAAGAAGCAGTATTGTTTTCTTTTTTACATGGCTGTGCAGTGAGCACTGATCGTGGAATTCATCCCTATTAAGAGCAATATATGTTAGTCTTAAATCTACATCAGTTCTGCTACTGAGTGCACCGCTGGTTGGTTATCACTTAAACTCTGACCATCCTAGGACTGGTGTAAGGAAAGGTGCTGCTTTTCTTGGCTGCTGTATCGTGTTTCCTATGGCCTGTGATGCTTTGATAATGTAAAACTGTAAGCTGCTTCAGTCATCTGCCATGTATTTTCAGATCCTTCTTAAAAAGGGAATCAAAAAGCTAGTGACAAGACGTGACGATACAGAAGAGAACTTTCCCTTTGTGGGGAAAAAAAAAAACACTGAACAGGCAAAGTTTTATACAACTGTGGTGAGTTCAGACAGATTAGAACAAGAGCAAGAAAGAAATGTTCAGTGGAATACGCAGACATGGTAAAGACGTACACTGAAAGAATTGGAGGAGAAGGACTGAGGAAGACATTTAGCTACCATGTGGGCTTTGTTTGTCTTTTTGTGTGTTTTTTTTTTTCCTTCCTGCTCCACTTCCAATTGTTAAATCTGCTCTATGCGTTCATACTTTATGGTAATTTTTTTTAAAAACAGAAATGTAATTTCTTCAATGTATTCTCCAAGCTTAGGTAAATCTGTATATAGTGTCTCAAGACCCACGCACACTGTGCTGTCAGAAAGGGGAACGCTCTTCATGTGGAAGGGCTATAGTGTTCTGTATTTCACGGAGCAAAACACGTACCAGATGGAGCAGCAGGGAGTAAGTACAGTTTGCCATCACAGACAGGCCACCTCACCCCGTGGCTGGCCGACCTTCCTGGCGAGATGCTGAGCTGCTGAAATGAGATGCAGCCCTGGCCTGACAATGTGCCCTGCTGAGGGTATGGTCAGACAGTGGCAGATGTTTGTGTGGGACCTAGAAGTTACTGTCAGGCTCCTAAGTTACGCAGCTGGTTATGTCATGTGAGCTTCCCCTCTCTTGCTTTACAAAGCAGAGTGGCTTCCTTTGAGCTCCTGTTCAGCTTGAGAGGCTGAAGGAACTTGCTTGCGCTGCTGTGCCACCATCCGCTCTCCAGTCTTGATGACCTACATGTGCATGTTGCTGAGCGTGGGCAGAATACGCTGAGCTCTTCCCATGAACTACTGTTTATATATCTCTAAATGCTTTCCTTCCCACTTCCATTCCTGAACCACTAAACAATTTTTTTCATATCTTGCATCTCAATGGAGACGTCAATTCAGTTTTGGGCAGAAAAAAGAAATAATTGGAAAATCAGGAGTGAATAGAAATTATTTAATCTTTCACTGCTGTTGTTACTCTCCAAGTAAAATTGATTTTAAGGTTCCTACTCTGTTGCTTTTAAAGAACTTCTGGCAATACATGGGATCTGCATCTGCTGCCTTCTGTGTTTTCCAGGCTTTCCTGCATTTGTGCTGTGGTGAAGTGGGCAGCGTGCTTCTAACAGGTCACACTCTCAGGACGTGTATTTCTGGTGTTGGAATTTTCTTTTTTAGTTAAGAGGTGGCAATTAATAAAAGTGGCTGCAAAGTGACAAAAACAGCTTTTGCACTAAAAACAGAATTTTCATATTATATTATTACTATTGTAAAATGTAATATTATGTTAATATGTGGTAACTGTAAAAAAGGGCTTGTAATTTACCAATATAGTAGTGTTAGGAGAAGTGTTTCATGTGTTAGTTTTATCACTTAGATCCTTTTATATTGGAGAAATGTTACTAAGGAAGAACAGCCTTTTTTCTTTTTTTTTTTAACTAATGGTCTAATTACTGAAGATGTCTTGTCCCTATGGTTTAAAGTGCTATTTTAGTAAAAAAAACCAATTAGCAGATGAAATAATGATATAGGACAAGGAGAAAGGAACTCTTGATGGAATGTAACATTGAAAGTAAAACTTTGGTAGTTGGTTGTGGTTTATAATATCTGAGAAATGTCTTCGTGGAGAGGAACCTGATATCTTCATGCTTGAGTTAACTAAACTTTTAAGTTACTTTATGTAATAATAATAATAATAACATAATGATCAAGTATTTTTTGAAATCAGGGTAGATGTAACCTTACAATATAACAACTGCCTTTTTGATGGTAAACTTGAGACCAGATAGACTTGAATATTCACAGTGCTTATTTTCATAAGCTCGTTTAGTCTGAGGTAGCAGATAAGACCAGGAGTCGCAGCGTGTTAGGGAGGAAAAGAGAAGAGCTGAAGTTATAACCTGCACTTCAAATTTAGCTTGCAAACATCTGCATTTGAACAGACTGTGGTGTGGCCCAGACACTTCTGTCTGTTCCGTTCACACTTCTGGTAACATGACAAGACTGATGCCTGGTAGATAAGGTAGCCTGTGCCTCTTGGAGGCAGCCTGCAGTCAGGGCACTGTCAAGACCAGTTTAGACATGTGGAGCTGGTGTCTTGGGATCACATCAAACTTGTCTTGCCCACAAAATCGTGCTGGTCAGGTACCACATAAACTGTAGCTCCACTGTATCATACACTGTTGGCTTGCTTGATACAAATAGCAGTTTTATTGATGATTCCGTGGTTAAATATGTGCTACTTGCCAGGTATAAGTGAGCCTGACCATTAATCTCCTCCATTATGCTTAATATGTTGCATTTAAAATTACTTGGACTCATAAAGATTAATCTCAGTGCATTGCTCTTTAATCTTTCTCTTTGCACTCTTTTTCATTACAGACCACCGAGGCTGATGGGTGAAGGCTTTGTTGTAATGCAGTCCAACGATGTTGATATCTATTATTATATGGATGAACCAGGTACGTTCTGTTAAATGCAAAGAGAGAGTTTTAAAGGATTTGAAGGCTACGTGTTTATTTAATTGTCTGGACTTGCTAGACAATTTCTTCTTTTTTTTTGTGCTGAAAAAACTCTCTGCTGAAAGAGTTAGCGTGATGTTGTGGAGCCAATAAAAGTGTTCCTAAGTACACTTTTCATAAATTATTTTTTCTGCAAATGGAAAAGATTTTCACTGAAACAAATGGGAGAGAGTTCATGTGTTTTGTATTTGGAAGGGATTGAAATTTTGAGCTGTATTCTTTTCAATGGTTCTTTGTCAAGTCCTAGACTTTCATTTAAGAGACGTGGGGAGTTCCATAGATGAAATAACTGTACGTGTAGAACTAATGATTTTATCAGTGACTAGTTTCATATAGCTGTAGGTGCTCTGTCAGCAGTGCCTTCTGCAAGTCTGTATGGAACATGGAAGCAGTTAATCCTGATATTTGTTCTTGAAACAAGTTATATTTTAAGCTGTCAACTTAAATGATGTAGATTTCCGAAAGTACTTCAAGAGAGAACACAATTAATAGTGAATAACTACTGGGGATTTTGAGAAGTTTATTCTGTGCATCAATTTCTGCATAGTGTGGTGTCTATCTTTTTCTCTTTAAATCCAGTGCATTATATTACCACTTTATTTTGCCGGATTTTTTTTTTTTGGCGAGCAAAAGCTTTTGCTCTGACTCCACTTAAAGTGTTGCCTGAATCTTGAACAGAGGTAACATGTTCAGTAAGGATGTATACTGGTGTAGGATAAGTGGCTCTTTTGGATCGTTGCTGAATGGCTGCTTGATTTTTTGCTAGTAACTCTGGTCTACTGTAGTAAGTCTTTTTATTTGCTTGCGTTGTCTCTAGAAAATATTTTAACTTAATCTTTGTTTCAAAACTTGCTTTGGAAGTAGAATTCGGAACTGAATGTGGATGTATGAAAGCCTGTATTGGTAAAAAGCATACTTGAGAGATAAAACTGCTGTGTGTGTCAGTATTTCATTGACAGCAGTGAGCAACGCTTCAGAAAATCCCCAGAATTGTTCATCATGTTCTTTCCCTTCCACTGGACGTCTGCATGGAATTGTGGCTTGATATTTACGTACTGTAGGGGTATCAAATAAAACTGACATCAAGACACTTTAATTGGCTTATGGTTAGAAGACATTTTTCATGCTAATTCAAAGCAGCTTCCTTTAATAATCTGTTTATTATGTTATGTAATATAGGTCTTGTACCAGAGGAGACGGAGGAAAGCAATGATGAAGAAGCAAGCAATGAAGACAGCAAACTGCAGGATCTGCCACCATGTTGGGGTTTGGACATTGTTTGTGGAAAAGGAACAGACTTTAACTACGGGCCTTGGGCTGATAGGCAGAGGTATTACAATGATTTTACACGTTTAGTTTTTAATATCTATTCTTATTGGAAAAACATGCTAAAGCTTCCAGTGTGTGATTCTAAAGCTTCCAGTGTGTGATTGTTCAGGCTTCTAATTTATATGGGCTAGACTAGGTAGTCTAAAAGACGAGTCCTGGCACAATGGTTTAAAATTAACAAATTCATTGTTAGCCTTCCAAAGTTAGGATCACTCGGTTAATTTTTATTATTAAATTAATAAATTATGTTCCTATTTTTTGTGAAGAAAGTAGTTTTATTATTTATCAAGTGTTACATACCTAACAGTTTGGCCTTTTAATTGGTTACCTTTAGACTTGTCAAGCTCCTATTAGCTCATGGGTGGGAATACACTGTATTGATGAGAAAGTTTTTATGGAAGTACTAATCTACTATGAAAATAATGAGGAGGGAATCACTTATCCTTACTTAGGAGAATCAACTGCTTGATGCAGTCTCCAAACTATTTATTATCTACATGTTTTAGTGACAAAATATTAGGCCAGACCTCTACTACTCTTCTTCACTTAGCCCTCGATGTTTTGTGCATGAATATTTCTGATGGAGACAGTAAGATTGTTTAGAGATTAAAGGGCTGTTAAGTAAAAATGGCATAATCGGTGCTTTCCCGCTTTTCCCCCTATTAATTAGAGATTTGTACTTGGCCTCCATTAATTCTCGTGTGAAAATATTATGATTAGCTGTCTCTCGGGAGTGTGAGGATGGCAGACCAAAGAGTAGTCAGCAGATATGACAGTGTCCTAGAGAGTTTAGGAGAAAATGCTGGTTTCCAGAACAGTGCTTTGCTAGGAACGTGTAGTCAGTGAGTCACGAGTGATGTTGCTAATACCACCAAGGAAGCTCTCTGTGATGGTGTGCTTTTCATCACGTTAAGTGGCTAGGCAGGAGGTCGTTTGGTGCCGTGCAGAGTATGTAGGGTTCATAGATGCATACCTGGGAAAACTTCTGCATTGTGCTGTGGATAGAAGAGAGAATTTTGGAAAGTGCCTGAACCTTTTAGAAGCACAGATATATTAGGAGTTCTGTGGACTTTACTTGCAGTTCATATAAGGGCTTCTAGAAATGCCAATCTTTGATACATCATGCAATAAAAGCTTGGATTTCCCTAGGGTTTTGACAGTATGTGGTGTTTGTGGGGGTTTTGTTGTTGAGGTTTTTTTTGACTTAGTGTTGTGGGGTTTTTTTTGTTTTTAAACTTCTGAGCTGCTATAGTGGTCAAGTGCTGGGTGCAGGAAACTGCTACCTCCCTTAAAGATTTACTTCCACCCCCTTGAAACCTAGATAGGCTATGCTGTTTGTGCTTTATCTCTATAACTTTCCTTTCGTGTAGTTCCATGTTCAGTTATAAGTCTGCAGAAACATAGGCTTCATTTTAGTCCCATTCTGAGGTCGTAAGGTTTTGTATTTTATTTCTGGGCATTACATCAACTATTTATGCACAAAACAAAGTATAAACAGATTACTTCCTACTATGTTTTTGTAGCAGATTTGTAAACCAAAGATTAGGAATAAGAAGAAAAACATATGTTTGTTATCTGAATTAAAATATTTTTGTTCTAAATCATTTATGGTCTGTCCGTTTATGGCTTTTTTTATGATCATTTCTTGTCATTGAAACTTTTGGAGATTTCAGTAATGAGTCGGAAGGCTCCCATAATGACAACTTCAAACAAACATTCTTATCACATCCAGTGGTTGTCTGAAGACTCAACCAACTGGAAAATAAGTGAACCAAATAGAAGCATAAATATATATAAATATATATATTTTTCTTCTGTGAATAATAAATTTTTTTTCTTTCTTTTCTCCAATAGGGATTGCTTGTGGAAGTTTTTCTTCCCACCAGACTACCAAGTTATGAAAGTCTCAGAAATTGCTCAGCCTGGAAAACCAAGACAGATTCTTGCTTTTGAACTGCGGATGAATATTATTGCAGATGCCACCATTGATTTGCTTTTTACCAAAAACAGGGTAAATAATGAAAGCTTATTTAAAAAATAAGTTGCCTGCTGTGATTACACTGTTCTGTTTGGTTGTGCGTGTTTTTACTTGTCTCAGGTGTTTATTACATAGCTACAATTTCAAAAGCTAGGTGATTTTTGGTTTAGTCATAGAATCATAGAATCATAGAATCGTTAGGGCTGGAAGGGACCTTCAAAGGTCATCTAGTCCAACCCCCCTGCAAGGAATAGGGATATCTCCAACTAGATCAGGTTGCTCAGGGCCTCATACAACCTGGCCTTGAATGTCTCCAGGGATGGAGCATCCACCACCTCTCTGGGCAACCTGTTCCAGTGTTCTACAACTCTCATGGTAAAAAATTTTTTCCTAATATCCAACCTGAATCTACCTCCCTCTATTTTAAAACCATTACCCCTTGTCCTATCACAACAGGCCCTCCTGAACAGCCTCTCCCCATCTTTCCTGTAGGCCCCCTTGAGGTACTGGAAGACCGCTATAAGGTCACCCCGGAGCCTCCTCTTCTCCAGGCTGAAGAGCCCCAACTCATTCAGCCTGTCCTCATAGGAAAGGCGCTCCAGCCCTCTTATCATCTTTGTGGCCCTCCTCTGGGCCTCCTATGAGCAACCACTTTAAAGAGAAATATTGGCTGAGAGACATTAATATTTATTGGCTTATTTTAAGTATCTTTTAAGCCTTAAAGGTCTATGTTAAGTCTTCCGTTATGGTGAAGCTCACCATGGTGCAGAGATAGTTTCTGCTGATATTGGATGAATATCTAATATTCCTGGAGAGACGATAGTGGGGGGAACAAAAGATATGTCTGTGTAGGGTCTGGATTTTTCTTTCCGCTGTTGCTACTCTTATAAATGGGATATAGCATGACTTCATTGTACACCTATTTTCTTCCTTTTTTTTGGTGGCTGAAAGATTTAGAAAGTGTAGTGTTAGAAATATATGTTCATCTGCCCTTTCAGGCCTTGGATCAGACTATCTTATGCTGTTTTTATTAGTGGACCTAAATTGTCATTTGTTAAACCTAAAAAGGGTACTGTTTGGTATTGGTGCACATACATAGTTTATTAGTAATTTTCCTGAAGGCAAGAAAGATTTCAGTCATCAGATGCCTTAATCCAGATGTGGATAATGATAGCCAGGGGCATAAAGTAAACTGGTTGATGTAGCGAGCCTAGAAATAATGTTTGGCCTTTTTTCCTTTCTTGGAATACAGGAAACTAATGCTGTCCATGTAAATGTTGGTGCAGGATCATATTTGGAAATAAATATTCCCATGACAGTAGGAGAAAATGGTGAGTTAAGGCTAAGCTTAATTTGTTTTCCTGAACTGTTATCTTAATTCTTGTGTGTGTGTAATGTTTGTAGAGTTTTTCCTTTGTGATGGAGATGTATATTCTTATTTAAAGAATCAAAAAGTATTTCCTTGTACATTTCATTGCCGGATATTACAGCATGTACGTATTTAAATAGTTAAGTTGCCTCCATGTTTTGTTAGAGATAGGAAATTAGAGATAGGAAACACAAATTCCTTAACTATTGGACAGTGTGAATCATGCTGAGAAACGCGTTATGAAAACTAATTTAATAATAGTTTATTTAAATGAAACAAACACAAATGTCCAAGGTGGAGTGGAGATAAATGTAAAGTTATGGGTATGTCCCTTGCATTTACTCATCTTATTGGTTGGTCTGAAGCCCTTTGCTAAATTGTTTGTTCTCTTGATTCTTTCTGACGTATTTGACCTTCTGCAACTTAAACCAAGATTTCCAGACTCAGCAAGAAGACTTCTGTTGTCTCTCCTGCAGGAAGGCAGAACATGTTAAGCTCTTTATTGACAAACAGTAGAGGACAGAATTATTGTAGTACTAATTTCCATCATGATATTTCTTGATTGTTAGTGGACTGCTGAAATCACTGGTGAAAATTATTTAAATATTTATGTTACTTTAATATCCAAATGATTGTTTGTATGTTTTGTTTGCTAGGCTATTCACCTACAATTAAGGGGCAGCTTCTACATGTTGATGCCACCAGCAGTATGCAGTACAGGACTCTCTTAGAAGCTGAAATGCTAGCTGTAAGTTCACAGTAGTAAGCACAAAGCTTCAGCCTCTAGAGGATTTTTTTAATAAAGAACACATTTATTTGTCTGTGGAGCAGTTCCTTAGGTTCTTAAACAATACAGAAATGTGTCTTTTGAATGTATTTTGCAAGACCTTAATATGTAAGATATCTATACACACATAACTATGCACGTGTGCAACTTTCAGTGACTTATATAATTTATATACCAAGTTACACGTGTTTTGAAAGCAGTGGAGGGATTGGACTACCATTTACAAATCTTGCTTGTTTCACTATATAGTCATTTGTCCATATAGGCTTTGCCTTAATAAATGATTACACCCACTGACTGTGCTACAGAATATGTGTGCGCAAAAGTACTTTAGAGTGCTTCAACTGCTTGAGACAGACTTAATACTGCATTATTCTTTTGTTTGCCATGTATTTCACTTCTGCAGTACTGTAATTCTGTAGATTACCTTTCTCACTGGTTTTTAATGTTTAAATTTGGGCATCATAGCACTGATTGAAAAATATTTCATTCTGAGGGATTTGATCTTTAGTGCATTGTGAAAAGTGATACTTTTACTGAAAACTTTGGTTTATAAATTGCTCGGTATATCTACTGCAACAGATGTATCAGAAGTTCGTAGTATACCTTTGCAAATAAATGAATACGCTAACACTTGACCTTCAAACGCAGAGAGAGAGATTAAATTATTAAGGAACTGGAGAGGCCTTCTGTTCATCT